AGGAAATAGAAGGAAATTGCTGCTCATCTAATGAATATTTTTTAACAAGAATGTAAAATGTGTAAAAATATGCTAAAAGACGGATATATATATAATGGGTTCCTAGCTAATTAAATATATGATAGAGTCCTGATAAATACTCACTTCTATGAAGAAGAATTTGAAGAGTGTGCTGCACAATCTAAGAAAACATCATCTGCTAGGGTTTACTATACTATATTTATGGAAAACTGCAGGTGGGGGTGGGTGGGCATCAGTGGCGGGTTGCAGGAGGTACACTCGGGTATGAGCGTACCGAAACCTGCCCGGAGCACCGGGTAGCATTCCAGTACGGTGCTCCGGAGGGCCCACCCGCTTGCCCGAGCACCTTATGGTGGTTTAAAGCTGTCGTACCAGTTGGAACGGAATCCGGAACCCACCAGTGGTGGGCAGCCTAATGCTCCTGTATGCTACTCCAAATACTATTGTTCCCAAGCAAGCATGGGCAATAATCAAGGAAGATGAAAGTTATAGTCCAATAATATATGGAGGGACATAGATTCTCTGCTTCCCTTTACTAACTAGATTTCCTAGGATATGTTTAGATAGTGGGGTACAAGTAGCTCTTGACTTACAACAGTTTGTTTAGTGACTGCTCAAAGTTACAATGGCACTGAAACAAGTGACATGACTGTTTTTCACACTTACGACAGTTGCAGCATTCCCATGGTCAATGATTGAAATTTGGATGTTTGGCAGTTGGTTCATATTCATGACAGTTGCAGTGTCCAGGGGTTATGTAATCACTTTATGACAAGCAAAATTAATAGGGAAGCCAGACTCACTTAACAACTTTACTAACTTAACAACTGCAGTGATTCAGTTAACAAATGTGGCAAGAAAGGTCATAAAATGGAGCAAAGTTTACTTAACAAATGTCTCACTTAATAATATAAATTTTGGGTTCAGTTGTGGTCATAAGTCAAAGACTACCTGTATTGAACTTTTGATATATTGTTCCTTCAGAAGAAATTTTTTGAATAAAGCAAAGGATCCATATTAAAAGAGAATAGAATTAAGCTAAATATAGCATTTAAACTATTTTTTTATGGCTGCAATGAACAAATTGATGGTCAGATGGGAAAATGTTTTGCACATGGATTTAAATGTTAGGAATCCATATAGAAAAATCTCTTTATTTGGCTAACTAAAATTCATAAAATATAGAGTAAGCTTTTGAGTTTTCTTGGTCTCAGAATTATAAATCAAGCATGGAAAGAGGTAAAACAACTGGCTTTCGGATTATTAAATTTTCATTTGTATGAAGTTGAAGGATGGAACTCATGTAGATTACAGACATTTAGTTTAGGCTTTAATGTATTTGGTGCTGAAATATTTTCGCCTTACACAGAAGCTTCAATTATTAAGAAACAAATAAAAGCACAGGCTTTGTTTTACAATATGTAATCTGATTGCTAACTTAGACTTTAGACCTTAGACTCTACGAGAACTGAAAACATGATGGTAAAACTAGACAGTTTTCATCTTAATAAAATTTGAAATAGATTTAAATAGTGAATAAATATTTAAAAGACACATGGTTTTATCTAATAGCTGGAGAATAGTGAGTGTAAAAAAATCTCTCCTTCCATTCATGGATACTGTTTTTGAATGCTTGCATATTATTTTCTTCTGCATCACGGCATTAGTGGCTTACTAAAAAATATCTTCAGTCTGTATTGGGTCAACTTTAAAATTAAATTATTATATTCTTTTCACTTTATCTTATAAGCCCTACCATGATCAGAAAAACAACTCAGTTTTGCAACTCCTATACTTTCTATGAGATAAGTGGAGCAAGTTGCACAGTAAGCATAGAGGGCTAACAGGAAAAGTGGGTAGCAAAATAGAATAGAGGAAACCTCTATTGCTTGCTCACTTACTTGTTTGCATGCTAATTTTGTCATACCAATTCTTCCATACAAATGTGAGGTTGGCAACATGCATTTTTAAAAGTGACAAGTACTTATATCTGAGTGGCGAACACCTTGCATAAATTATTTATTTAATGCAAAGTCTCACATTAGCCTACCCTCTTATAGTTAATTGTAAATGACTAAAACAGTTGGAAATTAACCATTTGTACAGATAATTTTGGGTTGGGGTGCTTTTTTGTTTTTTCCCCCTGTTAAATACTATATTCTGTACAGCAGGAACTCGGGATTTCTTTCTTTTGATGCTTCATTTAAATATTCTAGACCAGCTGCTCTATGTCAGCTTAATGAAGATAACTCTTAAATTAGCATTGCGAATTACAGCTTTAACATATCCTCCTTCGTTGTAAGCACACATATTGCATATACTTGCCATATTTTAGCAGATTAACATACATAATGTAAATCAGAGGCATCCAACAAGGACAACCAAATATTCTCCTGTACAGGGCTAGAAAGCTAAACAATATTGTATTGGTACTACGTGCATTCTCTTGCACTGCAGAAATTCAGCCCCATGCTAAAAAAATTTACACCCACTGAGGAAAATATAATAGTGTTTTCAGATAAATAATACATTGGAACAACTGTCAATAAGGAAGACAAAATAGTCTAATAATGGATGTGGCCTGGAGACAGCAAAATAGGAGAGTCAGAAGTCAGAATTACAAGAGTTGAAAGGAACCTTGGAGGTCTTCTAATCCAGGGGTCCCCAATCCCCAGGCCGCAGCCCCTACCAGGCCTTGAGCTTATTGGAACTGGGCTGCAAAAGTGGTAGGCAAGAGCATCCCCACGAACACGAACAGCGGGTGAGTGCGTGCAATGCATGCTCCATTTGTGCGAGTAGTGACATGTATGCCCACTGTTCACGCAAATGAAGCATCACACGTGTGCGCTTGCCTGCCATACATATGGAACCATCCCCTCTCCTCCCCCTGCTGGTTGAAAAGGTTGGGGAACTCTGTTCTAGTCCAACCCACTGCTCAAGCAGGAGACCCTACTGTTCCAGACAAGTGAATTTCCCCAAAGCTTGGGCTTCAGCTAGCATTTTTGAGAGCACTGAAGCCAGTATAAAATATGTATAATTATACACATGCATAAGGTGACCAGATTTTCAGATTGGTAAAGAGGGACACCTTTGACNCCCTTCTCTTCTTCTTCACCAATATTGAAGCATGTGATCACTTTTTCTGTTCAGGGCTCAAGCCATGTGGCCCTGTCCAACAATAAGCCATCTTTCCAAGCAGCCTCCATGTCTCCAGTGTCTTTTCCCCCACTTGGAGCTGAACCCAGAAGGACATTTCTTTCATCATGACTTTCAAAGGTACTAGGGAGAAACCAGAGCATGTTCACAATACAGTACAATAAGAACCAGAATCAGAATAGAGCTGGAAGGGACCTTGGAGGTCTTCTTGTTCAGCCCCCTGCTCAAACATGAGATCCTATCATTTCAGACAAGTGGCTCTCCAGTCTCTTCTTAAAAACCTCCAGTGATGAAACACCCACAACTTCTGAATATCTTAGTTATCCTTTTATCTCTAGATAGATAATATATCTTTGCCTGTCCCAAGGATATTCTGCCCCTTCATCCTGGGGTGATTAGAGAGCAGCTGAATGTCCCTTCCTATTAAGAAGTATCTCAGGAAGATAAATGAGAAGGGCACCGAGTCAGATATTCTTGGCTGGCCCCTTCCTTTGAAAGTACTTACGATTCAATGCAACAATTACCTCCCCTCTTTAAGGGTTTACAGATAATGGTTAAGGTCAAGCTGTTCTGGAAAGGCTTTGGAGAGTAAACAGCTAAAGTTAAGAACTGTAATACCGGTACTGTGATACTGCTTTTGTTTATTTGTATTCTATTGCATTTGTACTATAATCTTGTTATATTTGGTATGATATCTAATCCTTTAGAACATAGAATTGTTGGGAGAAATGTCCTCCTGAGTTCAACTCCCAAGTGAGGAAAAAGACACTGGAAACATGGAGGCTGCTTGGAAAGATGGTTTAATGATGGACAGGACCACATGGCTTGAGGTCCTGGGGGAAAAGTGATCACATGCTTCCAGATGTTGGGTAAAGAAGAAGAGAGCAAAATGCTGAAAGTTCCTGACTTTATATTCTCTGCCCGGCCCCACCTCTCTGTTTCCTGTNGGGGGGGAAGGTTTGGGGAGGTTGGGTTAGGATGTGGGAGGGAAGGTAAATATTGGTAAAAGCCTTTTTTTCTCAAAAACTTTCAAAAAAAAAATCAACAAGATAAATAAGTTTTTAAAAAATATTTCTTTTAGTTTCATTTTACTCAAGGCATCCAGCCATGAATGATAATAAAGAGCAGTAGAGATTAATTACCCGGATTTCTTTTATTTGGAGAAGGTATGCGTTGGTGGGATCCTGCCAGTTTAACAACCGGTTCAGTGATCGTGCGCTTTGCTTCATGCCCATGCGTAGTTTTGAGAAAAAGTACCTTCTGCATTACTGCTGGGGAGGAAAACAGCTGAGGCGCGGCAATCTGCTCTGCTGACGGACTCAGCTGAGAAGATATATGCAAGTTCCTACATCTTAAGGCTATTTTCACAGTCCATTATATGAGGCTTTAAATAAGCAGAAAGGACAGGGATCTAAAACACTGATACTCTGCGGTCCATTTTATCAGGACTAACTCATTCAAACTCCTCTCAGATAACTGGCAAGTCCTCATTTCAGGCACTTCAGTCCAACTCTGTACAAATCCAAGTGATTTTATATGAGAGACGCCTAGAATAATCCTCATGATGGCCCCTAAGTTTTCCCCAAAACTTTCACTCCCCAAGAGTATGGATCACTTTGACCAGAATCATAGACTAGTTATCTACAGGTATCCTTGTTGCCTAAGAAAGACCTTTGCTGTTTGTTTTCCTCTGGTAAGCATGAATGTACACAGAATCCTTAAAGTGCAATGCAACCCAAGTGGCGAGTAAGGTCTCAATTGTCCCAGTAATAACTCCAAGCTTCTTCTGGAACCCTGTAGCATGTCTGGCATGGACAAATCGAATGGACACCTCTCTACAGTGGTGTAAAATCTCAGCAAACTTCAAATCCAATGGGAAGCGATATTTTCACAAGGGACAAATAATATCCTCCAAATTCACCTTGGCCAACTCTATGCGGGATAATTTGCCACAGAACAAGAGTTATGCTAATATCAAAGAAGAGGTGGTATGGAATCAATAAAGAAAGAATGCCACAAAGGAGGAACAAAATGAAATGTGAATGACCAAAATTAAAATATTTTTTAATTAAATTGAATTGCTGAATTGTCCTGCAGCAAGTTGGCCGTGGTGAGTTGGTCCAAAGCCAAGTTCGCTGTGGCAAGTTGACCCATTATGTGTGTGGCAACCCGCCCCCTCCTTTCCCTAGCCAGAATCTGGCTAAAGATAGTTGACTCATATCCATGTTTGCCATCATCTCCTAAACAGTCTCCAAGTCTGCACCCAGGAACAGCAGATTAAAGTCCTCCAGCCAGAACCATAAGTTGGGGAAACTCCTCCATAAACCTTAGTAGCTCAGGTAGGGAGCTAACATGTTGCTATGCAAAATGCCCTCCTACAAATCTTCTGAAGGATTCAGAATCCTGCCTCTGAAGGACTCCTAGGTGGCTGGCTGAAGTTTATTACTATCAGCTCCTCAAAAGGAAAGTAAACGGAAGTAATAAAGAACATATTTGAAAGACTAGAGCTCATGAGGAGAGCAACTTCATCTGTCTGTTTTCTGGTAAAGTGGCCATTTGTGAAACCTTGAGTCTCCATATAATGTGGAACGCCCACAACATGTCCTCACAATTCATAAGCACTTAGCTCACAAAGGTTGGCCTACTTTATCTTAGAGTCCTGCCCAAAGATTACTAAAGACTTTTGGCAAGGAGTAAAGTGCCAACAACAAAGCTATATGTTCATACTAACAGAACACTTACACTTATGCAGGCATTCAGCCCCTGAAAGACTCAAGAACTGTGCACCCTGCTCAATCCACCCTCATCTTTCAAACACTGAATAGAAAGATCATTAATGTAGTAGAAAATGTTTGAGGAAAGCATTTCAGAAGGGATGACATGGCTGCTTTGAAAGCCACTTGTTCACTGGGATCACCAGTGAAACAAAGCAGTTGGGAAAAGTGCACATATGTGGAAACAATGGAAGAAAGATTTTGAACTATGCCACTTCTCAACTTTCGAGAAATTACAAAGGCTTTAACATATCAAAGACTGCTTTGCTTCCATAAACCTGTTTCACCAAGCCACCCTTTAAAATGCATTGTGAAACCCAGAAAACTTATTTGGACAAAAACAATTATAGATCTCCATTCTGCATACAACCTAATAACATAACAATCCCGATTAAAATCTTCCTGATTAATCCATGCAAATCAGCCACTTCAGGACCTTTCTTACGAACTACACCCATTCACTATATTCCTATATGCAAACAATTTTAACTGTTTGCTTTAAGCGATTAGGTTTTTTTTTTTAATCAAAAAACCTTTGCGTGCATTAGAATATGACAGTAGTTCTAGCTCAGATTAAAAGTTCCTCTGCAATGCTAACAGGTTTCCAACATAACTAGCCAGTCGATATTCCAAGATATACTGTTTTGGAATGAACAGGTTTTGTCATCCTAAAGGTCTAAGCAGCCTTGACCCAACTCAGCTGGGACTTAAGCTTTTCCAGCCACAGAGTTCAAGCTCTCCATATCTTGCTTGATGCTGAGTAGTTCAGTACAATACACAAGTTTCACCGATTTGGACTTTTTGCATTCGGGAGCAGGGGGTCGTCTAAACTACCCCCGTAAGGGTTTCTAGATAAAGAGTAGCACACTGGGCCAGAGGTCCCCAAACCTGGCAACTTTAAGACTTGTAGACTTCAACTCCCAGAATTCTCCAGCCAGCTGGGAGTTGAAGTCCACAAGTCTTAAAGTTGCCAAGTTTGAAGACCTCTGCACTAAGGCTATTGCATCAAAACCAAAACTCTTGGATTTCTTTTTAACCAAACCACATCAGCTTTCACGGACCCACCTGCGCGGGAGAACGCGAAGTGTCACCGATATTTGGTTGGTTCTAATGAAGTGTCTGTCGAGAATTTCAGCAAAATTGTAACAAAAAAGTAGATCACTTTGGCCGATTGTTATCCTTACCACCCAAGCCCCGCGAAACCACTTTCACCCAGATGATGGGGAAGCCCCCGAGGATCCCTCTCGGGCAAAGCAAGTCCCCAAGAGAGAGAGGAAAGATACCCGCCCCCTGATCCGTGATCTCGAACTTACCCCGTGTTGGGCAGCATGGCCAGGTCCGACGAAAGTTAAAGCGGGGACCGCCGGGCAGATTTCAGGCCCGGGTGGGACGGGACAGCGCCTTGGTGCCTCGCAAGGCCGCTCAGATTCCTGCCCTTGCTTAGATTTAGAACCTTCAAGCCAGAGTAAAAGGGCGCAACAATCGAAATCGATCCCTCCGACCCCGCCCCTCTCGCTTGCCACGCGGAAAAGAGAAGCCTCGTCTTTAGCCCCGCCCCTCGCCAGGCTTCCTTAGACTGACCCCACCCACCGGAACCCGCTCTTGCGTCATTGACTCAGCCCCTCATTCTGCGCGTCCTTAGCAACCGCTGCCGCAAGCAACGCTCGGGAACACCGGCTGTCCGAGTCACGTGATTCACTGAAGCGATTGGTCTGTGTAGTTTTTTTTTGTGGGGGGACCTCGCTTTTTCGTCTTTAACGGTTGGGAAGAACGGGCGAGAATATTTTTTTTTCTTCGTCCGCGGCTGGTTTTCCTTAGAGCTTCTGTCACTGTTTTTTTTTTCCACCAAGAGCGAATCTCATCAATGAAAACATGCAAAACGCTTGTTGTGAAACCAAGCATTTGAAGCCACGGGTCGTTTATAACTTTAGTCTTAAAGGCAAATGCGTCTTATCGCGGGTGGCGGACGTGGTGTCCTGTCTAAATAAATACGAACCTAAACTCCTTATGATTGGATTTGCCAAGGGTATGAATTTGGCCTCTCGTTTGAAAGAAAAAGGTCAGAACGTCAAACCATTAATTAGTTACTAACAAAAAAACCTACCTTTCACAATGACAAGTGACAGACTTAGTAGCTAAACGGGGGGGGGGGTCACCTTTTCAAGTTTTGCCTTAAACTTGTAATCCTAGTGTAAGAAGTTAAAACCCACCCATTTCTGAGAAAAATGAAATATCCTGGGAAATATTGAAAAGGCAGAATATTATATTTCCTTGGATAAGAAATGGAGAAACATGTTCTTAGGCAGGAAACAAACTCATTTTTTTCCCAAAGAATTTTTTTTTATTCTCTTACATACCATTTTAAGTATACATTCACATAATTAGTATTCTTTACATGTATCATTCTTATGCATTTATTATTTCATTTAATAAGTTATAATGTACAATTTGGGTTGCTTTATTTACCATCCCTTCCTCCTTTTGTAACACCTTGTTTTCCCTTTCTTTTCTCCCTCCCTTCTCTATTTTCTTCCTTTCTCCTCTTCTTCTCCTCCCTTCTTTCCTTACCTTTCTCCTACTCCTGCTCTTCCTCTTCCCCTTCCTACCCTCTCTCCTTCTCTTTCTTCCCTTCCATCCTCCTCTCCTTACCACTTTCTTCTTTCCCCCGTCTTCCTTTCTTTCTCTCCTCTCTCCCTTTCTTTTTCTATTATTGTTGATATGTATTTCAAAACGCAGTTTATATTTCCTTGGGATGGTATTTCCGTCAGCCCAGATATAATTAAGGATCATTTCTTATTCCCTTACTTTCACTAGTCTACCCTAGGTATGTCCCCACTCCTTATATCTCGTTCTTGAATATATACTTATATGTTTAATATTTTCTTTTCTGTTTTCCCCTTCTTCCCTCCTCCCTTTTCCATTTAATAGTGTGTCATCTGAGTACTTTATCGTCTCCCTACTTTCTTTTCTAGCTTGCTTTCTCTAGCCAATCATAAAATCTTCCCCATGTCTTGAAGTACTCTGATTCCTCTTCTGACTCTCAGGCCGGAAGAGAAGGAAATGGACAGTAAAGAAATCCGAG